GGAATAGCGATAGCGATAGGAATAGCACGATTTCAATCTATCAGAAATCGGATACACCGGAATATACAGTTTCTGATAGGTTGAAACTATGTTATTCCTATCGCTATCGCTATTCCCTCGCATTGTGTCTTGGGCTTAACGCATAGTGTATAAGCGAATTAACTAATCAGAATCTTTCCTTTCCTCCCATTCCATGGAAAAGAAGAATTTCGATTGGTCGATTCCCTTATGCACTATGCATTATGCGTTATGCAAGAGTCTGTGCTGCGGCCAGTAAGGTCTTAAGTCGTAGAAAATTGACCAATTGCAGTTGAATATGAGAAGAATACTCAACTGTGATTGGTTAATTTTCTACGACTTAAGACCCTACGATTGCTACGACTTCTATTGTAGACCCCGCATAAACATCAAGTTAGCTCGATTCTGATTGGACTGCAACGCTTGCGACACACTTGCGACACTGCGATCAATGTAGAATCAGCTTTAGACCGGACTATGGATTCTTTAGTTCTAACGGAATATGCCAATAAGATTGCCGAAAGTAGTAAGCCGCGAATTTGAATTTCCCGAGCTAAATTCGTGAATAGTAAGAAATTTAAATTTATCATACTTATGTATTTAAGATTTTTTATCGTCTTATATTTAAGATAATCTTATGATGACATAAAGCAAAGTATTCTTATTTTAAGACATTACTTAAGCAATCTTAACATAAGAATTTACTAATATCGTTCAAAAGTATCGAAAAATCTTTCTAAAAAAATAAAAATTTAATTAAAAAAAAATAAAAAAAGGACCTTAACAATTTCGAGAATAAGGAGGGACATTCCGATTTTTGTTCCGCTTTTATCTAATTGTCTAAGAAAAAAAGAGATAGACAAAAAAATTTTATGTGAATAAAATATAAGATATATTATTGTTTCTCTCTTGTTTTAGATTCACTGAATTGATTAATGTATTATTCACACAATAAAAAACAATATCTATTTCTTCATATACACTTCACTCTTTATTTTCATTTGACTATAATAACTTGAACTCTTTATACACTCTCATAGCCTAAGTACATGTAAATATAATCGAAATTAACATCATAAAATTCATCGTATCCCTATTACAGATTTCGCTACCGTAAATTCGTGGAATGATCACGTATTTGTTAATTCTCGCAATTCCATTGACAATTCTCAGACAGCGAATGATCTTTGCAAAATCTTATTGGATATTATGCGTATTTTCCAAATTAAATCGCAAAAAGTACGAGTTTTCACACGATACGCAAAGCGATATTCTGCACGCACAAAATTTGTAAATTAGTTATAATAATTATTTGCTACATGAAAAATCGATATTATAATCGAAAACGTATCATGAATTATGTCGCTTAAATGTTATCCCAAAACCACGAGTTGCAATGAGATATGCTGCGCGATTTATCGTATGATATAAATCCTTTTCCAAAGTGTGAATTAACTTTTGACATTAGATAACATTAGAAGTCACATCGTGAATGAGAAATGTACCACGTATAATTATGATTTTATTCAATAAGATTTCTTTAAATTTCTTAAGATAAAGAGAATTTCATTTGCATTTTGCACAGCAGAGATTTAAAAATTAATGTTTGATGCACACATGTTTGTAAAGAACACGTATCAATCTCGATTAATTTCTATATTAGAAAAAAATGCAATTTTTACTTTTAAAAAATACAAGAGTAAATTAAGATACTGTATGTCACACATTTATATTTAAAAGTCAAGACGAGAGAAGCTTCGATTCGATATTTACAATTTAATTTTGGACTTTGCGTGTACAATTTATCTTAATAATATATTATATATATTATATATATAAAATTCAAAATTTAAGAGCAAACATGTGTCTGAAAAAATTAATTCATCGGAGCGCTATGCATATATTTATAAATAATGCAAGGCAATAAATATGTAATAAACAGATACATACGCTTCGGTAAATAATCCAGTACAAATAATTCACAATCCCTCTACTGTCAATATATTAAGATATATCACACAAATGAGCTAACGAAGATTTATCGATATTCGGAAACACACTCCTGCATGAGCTTACACAGATTTACATTAGTGGAAGTCAGAAATCTGATCTATTGCTACCGTCGTTCGATTCTTTAAAACGTGAAAATTCGATAAAGTTCTTAACGTGCGGCGTAAATATAGCCGATCATTGGATGAACGACCAACGTTTCCTATTTGTTAAGTTCATACAGGAATTCATTCTCGCTTGTAAACGCATTTTTCGTGTAATTATGCGCAAATCGGAAATTCCGTAGACGATCAGTAATGTCCGTGTACGGTACATTATCATGGTACTTTCTTTCTCCGTAAACGCTGAGGCGTCAAACATTACAAATAACTTAATGAATGAGGCATTTAAAAGAGTTCTTCAATTTGTCAATTTCCTTTAAGTGGAATACCATGCTGCATCGTATCAATGTACAGATTTAATGTACAATATTGATATCTGTACATATATAGTTCAAGGAACTTTCTTACGCAATGTACAAGTGATGTATAGATTCATAAAATATTCCATGTACATCAATTCCAATATATATATATATGTATGTTTTGTGGACTTGTGATGCATATAACATTTTAAAATTTTAGGCACATCGAGCACACAACAATGATATACGTACACAATGAGTCTTAGTTATAGGAGCATGATAACTTTTTGTATATATATATATATATATGTATATATTTTTCCAATATAATTAATAGTATACAAACTAAACACAGCAGCAGTTTTATGATTTAGTTAAATCATAACACAGCAGAACTTGTATATATTATTGTATATATTTATATAATATCTATATATATATATCATTATGAGTAATTAACACTTTATAAAATATTTATTCTATTTTTTTAAATCTAAAAATATTTATATAGATTTGATTACTGCAATGTAGTAACATTAATATACGTTTTTACCGTATTTGATGTTTGTACTACAAATATATTCGAAAACCGATCATTCTCATAGTTGTTGAATGAGTTCTGTACAACAAATAATAACAATATTCATCGAGAATTAATTATCAAAGATATTGATGTAACTGTCTTATATATAAAAAATCAAAAGTACTCCGCAACATCTTATTATATCAGATTTCATATTTTTATAATTATTGTATCTATATAGGACTTTTTTATATACTTTCGTTATATTAGTCTATCAATATTTTTAAGTTCACTTGATATCATTTGAAGTGCATGTGCATGCATTTTATATATGAATCTTTTAGAAGGATCTTTATCATTACGCGTTCGCAGATTTAAAAATTAACAATCTCTCGTCGCTATTAATAATTTATATTATACAATTTCCTGTATATTATTGTAACAGTATAATCATTGTATCTATAGTGATCATGCGTTTTCATCAGTGCAACAAAACAACCAATGTGACATCAAATTATTGTACTGTGGTGTGATTAGGCAAAAAATTATTAACTTTTATATCATGTAATACGAGACAGTATGACAACGCTAAAAATTTTAGTTTTTGGACATGTCTTACACCATGTGTATCTGTGGCAATACTATGTATCTTGTGTATTTCAATAGCAACAATAAACTTTAGCACATTTTGTATACGTTCCCTGTAAAAAATTCTGATTTCTCAATCAGATTAGTGATTCATAAAATATTTCATCTCAATCTCAATATATATTTAAAAATTATATAGTTGATAATGTGTATGCTCCGATAACTAAGGCAAAATTATGTACACGTGTATAAATATGCTCCGTAGATCAAGAATCTACAAATATATATTGATTTACTTATTTTATGTATAGATATATATATATGAATTTTTATATATATATTTTATATATGTATTTTATATATATATACTTTTATATAATATATATAACACGATACAACGAATACTGTTAGGTGTATCTTAAGGCACTCGTGCGAATAAAATCTAAAACATTTGAAACAAATAAAGAAAAACAAAGTCTCTAACTTTAATAACAATTCATAAATGTACACACACCTAACTATATAGTATTTAGTTAAATTGGTCCAGAACTAGAACTGATGAAAAACACTTTCACTCTGTGTTAAACCCCCGTAAGATAAATTAGGAAATAGCGTTAAACGATCGTCGAACAATCGATCAACCCTGTATTAATATAACGTTTTATTGTAGCCTCTTAACAACATTATTAAAACTTCGTCTAAAGCCAGGAACTAGTGCTTTAAGGAATTGTTTCACCCTTGACACGTTTTCACACTTTAATTAGAATGTACACCGCAAAGTTTCTTGATTTTCTGCATCGTTTACTATCGATCAATATTCCTATTAGTGAATACACTTCAAATGTACTTTTAAAAATCAAGTGCGAAATAAAGTGAAAAGGAAGGATGAAACTATCACTGTAATATATAAAATCTGTGTTAACAGAGACTTTGGGGTTGATACATATGGGAGCATCACTATCCAGTGTCTGAACACTGCGCACATTATGACGTATAACGCATATATTTAATTTAGCCCGTTGCACTCAGAAATTGTATCGTATTTTGAGATTGGCCTCAGCTCTTGCTCACTTTAAATTCCTCTAATATTAATTATTAATATCACGAGTTTTGCTTCAATAGATCTTTTGTGTTATGGCAATATAGATGTAGGTACTCATCAATATCTAGTACGCTGGATGTAGATTCTCCCCACAATCTTTTCTAACGCTTACCACAGCTTTTGTATTATTAACTACAATAATGAGCTATAAGACACTGTTTATTTTGCGTAATTTGTCACGTAATATTTTTAATAAATATAGCAATATATATGTGTATATGTATATATGACGATTGACCGCCATGATGTTTCTTTTTATGAAGAATATATATACAAGTGTATTATTGTCTTCGTATTTTACGATAGACAATTTAAAATTATTACTTTTAAAATAACATCGATAAAATCTATAAATATACAAATAAAATAACATTCAGATAAAATATTCTAAATAAAATTTTATAAACAGTGATAACTTTTAAACCAACAAAAAAGTAAAATGTTTAGCCGTTTCGAGTGCATTTAACACCAACACATGTTGAGAATATATCGACAAATCGATACGTTTATGTGGAACTCGCAAACAGTTCTATTAAGTAAACTTTTCATTACGCAAGATAAATTGTTTTTATATCTCATAGCTCAAGTTTTTCCATATATATCTATATGTATAATATAGGAATGTTCCATTTTTTTCTTGCACGCCGTCTCTATTATCAGAGACATAATTGTACCATATTTCACATAATTTTAACCGTATACATCTCTTACAAACATAATATTGCCAGTGTACATATTTTTGCAAACTGGAATGACGAAATATATATATATATCCATATGTACGCGTGTATATATCTATCTACGTGTTTTATATATAAGTCTCTTCATAATATAAATAAAAATTCGCAGTGTGAGCACATTCAGCGGTTGAACATCACTCGTAAAACTTTGTACAAATAAAAGACCGAAGTCTCTTTTGCAAGTGTAAATAATCGAACGCGTATTATTTAATTCTGTTAAAATCTTTGGCTAAAACATCTAATTGCGAGCTAGAAGTATCCCTTGGGTAACTCTTTGTTAATGATGACCCACATCGGTTGACTTAGCTAAAATCAGCAAACTTTTCAAAGCGTTCATTATCTAGCAATTAAAATTTCGATGTCGACGCCATTAACAGTAGCAGCTGGATCGCTTGCGATCTAACTGCGATATAAAATATTCGATATTTCGTTATCATCGCGGATAACGTTTGTAAAAAGATTGCACTTTAAGCCGTTATTATAATCACAGTAACTGTATATAGGCTTGTAATTTAAATAACTTACTCGCGATTATTTATCAACGTCATTTTCTTTCCTTGGACTTTGTTGTGTGCAGTCAAAACACTTTGTGACATCCTGAGGAAAAATTAACATATAATATTTACTATATTCAATATAACGAGTTATTGTATCGTTATGCACTGATAATAATCAGTAATACTAATAATGAATATAACAACAAAAATATATGATGCAATATATACACGTGAGAACTGCTTATAGGCAATTCAGTAAAGAGAATGCAACGTACCTGTACCGCAATTTGTAACGGCGTTAATTCACCTATAGAGCAATCATTTCGTACAACATTCGCCGGAACTAGCTTGGGACAAGGCTTGCCCGTGAAGAGTGTGAACAGTGCGTGAATGCTTCTACGTTGTGTCAATTCTATGTGACGGTGTTGATATCCAGCCAAGTGTTCTTCATGCCGAGAGATGCAAGAGAACCGTCTTTCACACAAATTACAGTATAGTTTATCTTTTATCGTCGCCTGCGAAAATAAACGGGATGAATATTTCGACTTCATGAGAGAAAAAAAAAGTATCTTAAAAAAGGATCTTTTTGTATAATAATTTAAATAAGATAATCTTTCTCTCACCTTTTCGTGATAAGCTAATTGAGTTATGAAATCGACGATAGACATTTCACTCTTCTTAATGTCCTTTGTATTGCTTTCAACTTTAATGCTTGACGTTATAACTTTATCGTCCATCAACTTTGACTCCGCTATACTGAGATCTTCGCTTTCCTGAATCGTGATGACCGGGGGCGATCTAGAACTCTCTCTATCTGAATTCGTATCGAGGTTTACGTTGACCTCGGGCTCTAATATCGGCATGTTGTCTTCTTTGGACTTGATTTCTTTCGCGTTTCTTGTGTTATTCCTCTGATCGGTGGATCTCTTAGGAATTTTATAAGACGACAACCGATTCTTCTCTTTCCTTTGCTGTAGATCTTGCGAATGAGGAACATCGTTGCATTGATCAGTTAGATTTTTTCTTTTCTCGTTTAAGTGTACAGTACGAGTTAGGCCCTCGTTTGACACAGCTTTCTCGACCTGTTTAGACGTTTTTAAGGATGTTATATTGCATTCGGACGTGTCCTTTATCGCGTCCTTGGAATCTGCTTTGTTTTTCTCAAATGACCTAGATTTCTTCTTCATGAAGGAACTTTTGCTTGATTTGGAATGTTTCTTATCAGACTTCTCGGTATCAGATATTTTCTCAGTCTTGTTACATTTACTTGCCACGGGTATACAGCTTTTCTGAGACGCAACATCGCTACGACAGCTTTGAATAGCGTCACTCGAAGGTGCCTCCGAGATTTGATTGATATCAAAACTCGAACCCTGCTTCTTCTCCGCGGCTGTTTTCGGTCTCATGTTACCTATCGCGCTGCCCTGTACATCGTATCTGGATTTCGAAAGGCACTTCTTCAAGGTCTCCTTGGCTGCCAAAACTTCTTTTATCAAGGAGTCGTTGCAGCAGAAGTTTTCTGTCGTCGTAGCGAAACCCATTACTCTGCAACAAGGGGCTTTCGAAGAGATCTCTTTGACAGAGCTAGCCGAGCTGTTCTCCAATTTAGATCTATCATCGTTGCTAATATCAATTTCCACGACACTTTTATCTTTCCCAAGCGAATTCTTGCCGTGAGAGGAAGCATCAGATTTGTCGTAACGTCCTAATTTCGCAGTTTGATCGCTAGACTCTTGGTAAGTAGAATTCATACGACGTGATTTGTAACAGGTGATAGGATCAAGTTTCGGCATAGATACATCTAGTAGATCGGTATTGCTGTTGTCCTCTATCTCTAACTCCAGTTCGAACTGGGTCGGAATCGCATCCTCCGAATATAATTGATCGTTATCACCATCCTCCATCATATTCCTCTCCAGCTCACTACGATTATCATCCGGTGAAGCAGGCAGAATCTCTATAGTCGACTGGCTCTCGTCCGAAGATTCAACTTTAATGACAGTGCTGTTATTTATTTCGAAATTATCCGATATACTCACAGACTCGTTAAGCAAGTCCATATCTATGTCGTTGAAATTACTCAAACGTTTGTTCTTTATCATAACTTTGCCGCCATCCTTGCTCAAAAAATGATCGTCATCTTGCTCTTTTCTCCGCTCCTTGTCAGTTCGTAAATCGACTTTTTCAGACGATGTTTCGCTCGGACCGGGTAATTTCATGAAACAAGTTTCTGTCTTCATTCTGCTTTCAACTGTTGCCTTCAGCTCCTTTAATGCGAGCTTAAAGCTTGAGCTGTTTAGATGTTTGACGGGAGTATTCTTCTGACCAAGTTTATTCGAAATTGTATCTTCGTCCGTTTTCACCGTTTGTTCGCTATTGGTATCAAAACTATCAGTCTTGTGCTTATTATATTGAGAGGTAGCTTTCTGTGAGTTGGCTCTTTCAGATGACTGATTGGTTTCTTTATCGGACGAAATAGCATCCACTTCCGATCGTGGATTATTATCACGAGATCTCGATCTACGTTTATTGTCCCTTCGACATTCGTGGATTGACTTGTGACCTCTGGACGACGAATTTTTCTTCGGTGTGGTGCACATCTTGGTATCTGTAGAATCTGTTTTTGATACAAAATTTACATCGACTCTTGATGCGTCATTAATTTTTCTACAATCGTAATCTGACATTCTTCTTTGCTTACACTTAACCGGAAGTAGGTCGGACGTTGAGTTCGATCTGGACAGTTTATAATCACCTTGCTTTTCCTGACGATCCTTGCGATTTACAGACATTTTCTCGATAGCTCGTAACGTAATCGGAGACAAAGTTAACTTCAAATCCTTCACCATGCTATCCAGGATACGATATCTTTCCAGCTTGACCTCCGGTTGCCACTTTGCACTCTTCGCAATGACGTTCTTGTAGCCCTTGCTCAGCTCGCATTTGAATTCCGCGCTAGCCGATGTTCTCTTGATAATTACCTTGGGAATCTTCTCAGAAATGCATACCACAGAATTCTTCGTTTCACATTCTGACGCATTTGTTTGCATTGATTCGGAGGAGTTGCTGCGTCTTGTACGATGTTCCGTATCATCACGTTCCGATCTTCTGCATTTTTTGAGCGGCACTTCTAAATGATGGCTCGAGAATTGCCTCTTCCGTGTCACTTCTGGAGATGACGATCTGTTTCTTTCCTGCTTCTTCAATTTCAGTATAGGTATCTTTTCCTCGTATCTTCCCGCTTCTCTTGACTCTTGAGAAGTCGTACTGTTGCAATCCAAATTATCCGCGAGATCAGACCTTGAGCTACTCTTTATTTTAACCTTTGGTATAGTTTTCTTAACGTTTTTGCGTTTGACACAAACCTCCTCGTCATCATCGGCTCTCACTATCTTATTGGAGTGCTTCTCATCTAATTTAATCTTCATCTTGGGAATTTTATTCCTATAACTATTTGACTCGTGTAGAGAACTTTCGGAACTGCAAATAGATATATCATCAATCGTAAGCGAAGTCCGATTCAAGATACTTGCAGGAATTTCTTCGTGAACCGCCTCAATAGATGGGGTTCCCGGGCGTGATCTCGCGTTCCTGATGATCATCTTTGGTATCTTCGGTTGGCAAACGGACTTATTACATGTACTATCCTGTGTCACGGGAGAGGAACCCACCTTCGTAACGAACTTTGAGCTAGTCTCGCTTTTCTTGATAACAAGTTTAGGGACCATTTTTGTGTTAGCGTTGCAATCTGTCGCGCGCAAATATGCTATCTTCTCATAGCTACTAGAAGAAGTTTGATTCTGCTCTTTGCCTTCATCGTTACTCGATGTTGCTTTAGATTCCTCGATGGGTGCTTTAGATTCCTCGATGGGTGCTTTAGATTCCTCGATGGGTGCTTTAGATTCCTCGATCGCTGCTTTAGATTCCTCGATCGCTGCTTTAGATTCCTCGATCGCTGCTTTAGATTCCTCGATCGTTGCTTTAGATTCCTCGATCGCTGCTTTAGATTCCTCGATCGCTGCTTTAGATTCCTCGATCGTTGCTTTAGATTCCTCGAGCGCTGCTTTAGATTCCTCAATCACTGCTTTAGATGCCTCGACCGTTGATATGGATTCGTCGATCGCCTTGCTTTCAATTTCAGTAGCTATCTCCGCATCTTGAGACTCTTTGGTGGCAGACATTCTCGAGAGAGACAAATGGTCTAACAGCGAATTATCCTGGAGTGAGTTAACCGCGCCCGCAAAATCTATCGATTCATTGATGTTGCACAAACGATTGACAGCGTCTTCCTGGATTTGGCTCGTCTCCCACACCATCGGTACCATACTGTCTTCCTCCGCAAAATCATGTTCGGGCATTTGCAACGTGCATCTATCTTCCGCGTAAATCCCGCAATCGGAAGAATCCATGCACAGTAACTTGGAATCGATTATGTTGTCGTAATTCTTGGGAGTCTCATTCGTCTCAGATTCTTGACGTTGCTTTTTGTCGCCTTTAATGATATTCTTGATGACGGTGAACTCTGATATGTTTTGTTCGCGCCTCTCGCTTGCGAATAAGTCACATACGTTCTCTTCCGTTCGTAGGTTCAAAGCGATGGCTGACGTAGATATTATTGTGGAACAAGTATCCATTTCATCATTTTCTCGATTCTTCAATGAAACTTCAGCTTTTTGTCCATCGATCTCCAGAATTTCTGATTGCTGCTCGTTGCCTTCCTCTGCAAGCGTTTGTTCCACGAATGCAACGTTAGGATTTTGCGAGGCACTCGGTTCGTTTTCTTTAGATATCGTAGTATCTTCTCTATCACACATGTCTTGCTTATCTGCTTGATCGAAAGTAATCTCAGTCGAAACATTCAATTCCGTAGGCGTAGTCTGTTCTTTATCTTTGTGATCGATTGAAGCTGATAAAACTGGTTGATATATAGTTTCTTGATTCACGGCAGAGTTTGAATCATTTTTCACTGAATCATTAATTTCATCATCTCGTTCATTCAAAGCAAGTGTGGATTCTTTTACAGTTTCCATATTTTTTGGTTCGTCAAGTGAGTCCTTAGGTTCGACGTTTAATTTAGAAGGACTTGTGACTTTGGCAGAATCTTCATCCGAAATTTCTTTCGTACTTGCAACTTCAGCATCGGGTTTATCTTCCTTTGGAGAGACAGAATGATCGCAACGAAGATGCGAATCATCTTCGACTGGCTGTTCCGTCGAGGCTTCCTTGTTTTTCTCGTAGCTCGTAGAACTTTGATCTCCTTCGTGTATTTTCTCATTCGTCATTTTAGGAGAACACGATCGTGCTTTTTCAACGACTTCGATCGCACTGGATTTATCTCCATCAAACTGAGATTCTTGCTTTTTTGTGTGTTCATCATTACTTTGCATATTCAACGATGCATTAAGTATGTTTATTGGTTTATCAATAATGTCTGCTGACGCAATCTTCTGATTATTACATTCATTTTCTTGCTCATTACATACAGCAGCGTTTGATGGTTCATGTCGCGAATTGTCATCCTGAATCGAACGTAGATCGTCGATGAAGTTACATGTTGTATGATGCAACGTTGGCTCATTCATCACGTCGCAATTCGCTTTATAAATGCCGTTGTCAGAAAAGTCTTGCTCTGCAGGTAAAAACGGAAAGGTATCCAATCGTTTCTGCGCAGCGAATATATCACTAAAATTCAGCTCTTTAACATTACCGCTGTTTCTTCTATCGATGTGGGAAGAATACGACTTAATTGACTCCATAGTCTCTTCCCAACATGCGGCCCTTGGTTCCAAAAATAAATTCGATTCGAACACGGAGCTTTCGTTGTATCCTTTCTCGTACTCGAGATTGTCCGCGAATACTTTTGTCTTACAATGTTTATTAATGCTGGATGTAATGTTGGATGGAGGTTCGGTACTGTCTAAGTTGTACTGTTTTTCGAGGAAGTCCAAATCTATAATGTTTTTCTTATTAGTTTCTTTGCTCTCTTGATCGTTCTTGTTCGTATATAATTTATTTGCGTCATCGTTGAAGAATTCTAAATGCATACCTCGAGTTTTTGCACAGTTAGCATTTTTGTAAACAGCATTCTTATTTGAATAATCAACATGTATCGCTGCAGACTTGACGTCGATGGAATCAATCTCCTTTTTCCTACCGGCGGTAGTAACATCGCGATTTCTCTTGAATACCTTTCGCAACTTGGAACAATTGTAATAATCGTACGACGGAGATCTCGCGAAATACGGTTCGCGAGAGTTACCATCCTTCGTACGAGCTTCCATAAGTAGCTCGCGATACGTGAATCGAGGATTAGGACTATAAGTTATCTTTCCGTCTTTGGTGGTGTATACAGGAACTACATTTAAATTCTCCAGCTCGTCTGCGCTGAAAAAGGTAGGATTTACGTAACCACTGGTAGTTTCATACAGGTCGAAGTTGCCGAATCTACCGTCGTCTCTCTTTGGCCTTTTCCATCTATCGGCACGCTTGTCGTCGACATTCGTATTTTCGTTCGGCACAACATCAAAATGATTATAATCAAAATGCACGGGATTATTGTAGCTGGCATCTTCCATGCTGGGTTCTACCGTACTTGAAGAAGTCGACGGAACTGCGCTTAATTTCGATGCAGCATCATCTTGAAAATTTCTTGCGTTTTTGCATGGAGAAGCGACGGCTGTTTGCTGATGTTCCTTCTTCTGCGCATTGACGGTCTTCAATCCTAAGTATGGCGAATTATCCGAAGAGGCTTTCAGTTCCTCGCTACAGAAGTTGGTAGTAGCGACCTTCCTTTCTGCATCTTGATGCACGCTTCTCCTTCTGCTCGTCGCGTGTTCCGATCTTGAAGTTTTCAGAGAGCTCGATGCCAACTCAGATTCGGTATTAACGGTGCCTGAAAGAGTATCATCTTGTAAAATTACATTGCAACTAGGCGATTCCGTACAAGTATTCGAAAACATACCGCTATCTTCGTATACGTCATTGATCAATTCTTGTTCCGACAATGAACTTCGTCTCTTCTTCGAAAGTGTTTCGCTGTTCGCATCTTTCTCGCATGCGATCACCGATTTGATCTTGTTGTCGTGATCTTCGTGAGCTTCGTTATACGTAGACGCTTCTGTTACAACGGATGGTGATCGATTGCGCTTCTCATAATCCTGGCGATCCGCTTTATCACAAATCATTTTCTTGTCCGTTATATTCGTCGAATTTGAGATCGTATTAGTCAAATGGCCGATCGTCTCGGCGACGGCATTCTTGATATTCTCGTGCAGCAATTTCTCCGTTGTGTTCCGTTCCGTGCATGACACGTTTATTTCAATTTTAATCCCGTCAAGTGAACCGCTGCTCTTCGCCTCTTCCCTCGAATGCTGCGATCCTTTCTGGTGATCGTCATCCTTGAGTTTCAGATTGACGTTCCTAACTTGAATAGCGAAGTCAGGATTTTTATTCTTAGCTACGATCGTCTTCAAGATGTTCGCGTGTTTTCCTTCCTGTTCCTCGGACGACTTAGATCTCGCCACGTCTTTCTGGCACAGCTGATTATCGCATGGTGACTGCGGCGCGGATCGTTCGTCAGGATTCGACGAACGATGACACGTCTTATTCGTTGTATAATCAGAGGCCTCCTGCGTATCCTTTTTCTTATCATGGACTTTACTAACGCTAAGTGATTTATATTTTGTTCTTCTATATTCCTTTAGAAGCCGCATCCTTTCCCCACTATCGGTGATGCTAATGTTTTCGATCACTCTCGGTTTATTATGCGAATTGTCAAATTCTTTGGAATTTTCGACAGTACAGGATTTGTCCTTATGCGTTGCCGCTTCTTGAGTATGTTTATTGTGATGTACGATGGTTTCGCCGCACCTATCCTTCGTATTTTCCGACAAACATCTCTTCTTGTGAGAGATTGCCTGGTCGCCCGAGACTGACTTCTTACGATCCGCGAGTTTTGCATGCCGAGAATTTTTCAGGTTCGTTGCGTTAATTTTTGCTGATTTATTACTGCTGGCGCTCTTCTCCGTGGAAGAATCCTCGTTCGCGAATGATGCCTCGGGCTTCCTCAACTTATCGCTACCCAATGTCAGCTGTTTCGCGCTATGTGATGTAGGTGAATTACTTTTGACAATCTGCATCATATCTTCTGTCCTGGAACTCCTCGGAGCGGCGTCGTTTGTCAATGATGAACTTACCCTACTTGTTGCCATCTGACGGGTCATTTCGGTTGAGGTGCGTCTCCTTCCGGAATAATCATCCTGACCGCCGTCTAATGCAACGGGGTCGGGATTATTCGTGACATTCTGCGTCATGTTGTCCCCGTTCGTCGAATCGCTATACTGTAACGCGACTTTTGCATTCGTTTCTGCATGTAATTTTTTATGAGCGTCCGGGCTCGTCGCTCGAAATTCATTAGCGCGGCGCTCGCTTAAATTTTTATGAGCCTGCATTGATTTATTCTGCGCTTCCGTTGACACGATCTTTAATTCATACTCGCCGGAGGTCAAAGTCATACGCATGTTAGTGGCCTCTACAGTTTCCGTTTCGTTGTCAAGCGTAAATATCTTCTCACTGTTGTTTGCCGAAGCGGAAGTTTCATTCAGATTTGCGTGCTCTTTACCGTTTTTTGTAGACGATGTAGATCCATTCTTATCAGTATTCGTGGAAAATTCAAATGTATCAAGAATAACATCATGACCGAGCATATTGTTATCACCGCCGCTGTTTTTGAAACGATTCTCCGTCTGGTATTCACTTTCTAACGAATCAGCTGGTTTATTTCTGACGGTTTCCTCGTTGTTCAAATGATCGTAAGGCTCCCTGTTCGTCGGCGACTGCGTGAAACTAATCATAGGACTGTTCTGTATAATCTCGATTGGATTTGTCGATATCGTGAGATCCTCGACGCGCTCCGACGACTCCTCGTTGTCGGAATGGATCGGCGTGTTCAGCGTGGTAGAGATAGGAGTGCACTCTGACGTGGGCAAGTCTGGCAGACTTATATCGTCTGGATTATGAGATTCCTCGCTCGCGAAACTGTTCTGTTTCTTCAAATTCGTGTCTCGGGCAGAATCCTTCGCGGACGTAGGCAGAACGGTGATCGGCCGGTCACCTCGCGACGTTTGCGACGTGCTCTCCACCGCTTTAGGCGGACAGAGACCTTCGACGACGTATTGCTCCTTGTTCAGATTTCCAAGGTCAGTGTTGCACTCGGCCGTAGCCGACTCGGTCGCGTTGCTGTCGGTCTTTTTGAACTTGTCGGCAGCCTCGAGAGTTATCGCGGCTGCCGCGACTTCCGTTCCTTCTTGGAAGAACGACACCGCATCTTGTCTCTCCAGAGTCTCGGTAACTTGACCGTTGGTGACCTGCAAAATGCTACCTATCTCCAAATTGTCGACTATATGTATCGTTGGTACCTCGTCAGGCCCGTTGCTTATGCACTGTATAATGTGGCTTCCCGACCGTACAATAGTTTCCTTCGTGATGTCCTTACACGTTGAATCCTTCGCAATCTCAACGTTTTCCGCGGATGAGTACGATATGGTCAGACAGTCTTGCGCTGGTACCACACCGATGTCGCTCTTCTGCTGATTCTCGAACGTTATAACACTCGGGGTGATCTCTTCCGGTTTGGAGACTTCTAGACCCTCCAACGTCTTCGACGAGATATTCACGTTCTCGTAGCCCACGACTACCACTGGTGTCGAGTCGCTCAGAACGGCGTTCGGCAAATTGGTACCCGCGCCATCCTCGTCCTCCGATTCGTCCCAGTTGGCGAGAAACTGTCGTACGTCAAGCTCCGGCTTATCGGCGAACTCTTTGGGCATTTTCTGTTGTATAACCGCGTTATTCGCGTTCCCAGTCAGATTGTTGAAGCTCTCGCTTCCTGTTTTTTGAATCTCGAACTGATTCTGCTCGAGGCTCTTTTGCACCGGGTATCGATCTTGCTTCTGCATGCTTTCCGCGCACAGCGCGGTCGCATGACCGTCGTGTTGCTGCGACACCAATTGTTCCGGCTTCTGGACGTTGCGATTCACCATTTCGGGGACGCCGTTGCCGTCCTGCTTACCCTGTTTGTCCACCGGGTTGTCCACCGGCGCCTGAGAATTCACCGCTTGTTGCACTCTAGGGAAAGCTTCAGGCATGTAATTAGAATTTATTAAAACGCCATTCTGATCGAACTGCAAGTTTATAGGCGGGATAGCAGAGGTATTAACAGTCGACGTGGTGGCGGTGACGCACGGAGTCTGCTGTATTTGTCCCTGATATGTGACATGAGACTGCTGTAATTTCAATAATTCTCTATATCTATGAACACATTCCTTATACTTGGGATGCGACTGGTACCCGGGTATCTTCGCCAACTCCCTCAGATGATTCTCCATCGAGAATCTCTGCATCGCTATCTTCTGCTGATACATCTGATACCGTGGATGGGAGGGAGGATGCATAGTCGTAGACGTTTGCATTCTGTTCACCATGGATGTATTGTCGGCGGCCTCCTGACAGTCATGCGAAGCGTCTGTCGATAGATTCCTTGGATACTGCGAATTGAAATAAGTATTCTGAGCAGGTGGCATCATATTCAGGTTCGGAACACTCGTGGACGGCAAGTTGGTTGATATCATAGCACCGCCGGTTTGATACGGCACTTGTTTGTTGTTATATTTCTGCTGGGGCATAGCGAAACCTTGCTCCGGATGTTTAACCATCCCCTGATTCGGCACGTTCATGCCGCTCATCTTGGAATACTCTTTGACGTTGTAAGGATACTTCTGGTACTCTCCCGTGTAGTTGTAGTTTTGCATGGGGTAGTTCGGCAACATGCCCGAGGATGATGGATAGTTGCGGGAAATCAAGCGATCCTTGCGATATTTAAAATCGGAATAGTTCCTCCGGTGATCAGCGTTAGGCCCATTAGGCGGTGGCACCATAGGCGACAGAACCTCTTTGCCGTCAAAATTGTCCTTCCTAAAATTATAATCGTTTCCGAATCGTCGTGCGTCCGTTTGATATCCGGTGGACGTGCGAATATTCTCCCTGTAAGTCGCATTGTTCGGATAAGAGCAGTACTGCTGGTAACTGTTAGGATCCGGATTGCAGCACAAACCCTTGCAGGGAACGAAGGACGGCGGGGGACCCGTCCTACCAGCGGCATGCGAATTCACGTTGGTGTTTCGTGATCCTATTGACGCATGCGGTGCATTCATATTCATCACGTTTGGTCCATTTAGATGTGAGATAGGCCCGTTTAAAGGCACCTGATTATTTCTATAGCCTAGCTCTTCGTTTATACCGCCTATCGCGGCATTCCTCGGATCCATAGGACCATTCAGATTGTCCACCATGGGATTTCTCGTATTCGAAGGCCCATAGTGGCCAATGCAATTCTGCATCTGCACCATCGACGCCAAGGGATTGTTGTCAGTGGCATTGTGACCGTGCGAGATGTTGCTCGACAGATGCGGCTGAAAGTGCCTCGGATTAAAATTGGAGTCGTTCTGGTGTTTCTCGATTCCCTCCGAGCTGAGATTCAGGCCGTTCAACTGCGTCGGGCAGGTCGGATTAATATTGGAGATAAACGATAAGTGTCCCGAATTGACATTTTGAGTGGTCGATGTTACATCGTTTATTCCTGATTGCGGAGGATTATACTGATGCCAATCTGGCATATTTCCACTGTAGTTCATTGTACATTGTTTTGCTATTATTTTGCTGTGATTACATCGTTCTCCTTGTTCATCGAGATCTGTCCAAGTATTAAGAGCAGGGGGTTACCTAAACAGAAAAAACTAGATGTTATTTATTACAGTATATTTGTAATAGTTACATAATTACGTAGAAATTATAGGTTTGCTTTTTATGATTGAACTAGTGTACACTTTTTGTACTTAAAGTAAAATAGGTATATGTTTAATATTTGACGAAAGTAAGAAGGAAAATATTAGTGCAGTCCAGTGCAACGATAAAAACATACTTTATATGTAACATTACTATAATTGTTTTTAATAACATAAATATTAAGCGTCTCTGATCATGTCTGTCATCTGTGCAATTGGATAAAATTATTTGTAGAAATAAATATGTTCTTTAAACATCGCTAGATTTCTTACTAGATCTATATTATAAAAATAATTATCCTCATTTAATGAGTAAATAAAACAGCTTGAATTCAGGACGCAAAAATTAAATTCATAATAATTTTTATTATTATTAGGGAACTAATGAAGAGTCAAAGAATATATTTGTGGTTATGATTATTATAAGTACACGTTGCTTTAGTTATTCGGAGGACTACAGTGTTATATCCACCTCGACGATCACGAAGAGGTTATAATGCATAACACAGGTTTGATGAACTTTAAGATATAAGGAACACATTATCTCTTTATAGTCCAGATTATTTCTTACTAACAGGCAAATATCAAATATTTCATCCTCACTTTAATCTAATCCAAATGACATATGACTATGGCTGATATTCATAGTTTATTCTTATATTTAAGACTATCTTACGTACAATTAAGATGTCACGAACTGCAATCAGACAACTGCATTGATAATGCAAAACTGCATTGATACTGCATTGATTGCTTAAGATATTAAGATAATCTTAAAATAAGAAACTGTGAATACTGGCCTATGCTTTTTTATTATTGATCAGAATTTATTACAAGGCTGATATTTATAATTGATTTTTATATTTAACATCATCTTAAGTACAATTTTCAAGATGTCATAAGCCAATCACAGACTGGTACTTACAGCATATTATAGTCCATTCTTATTTTAAGACCATTAAGCAATGTCTTAAGATGTCATAAGCCAATCTGAGGGTCCTATTAGCATCTTAAGATATTAATTAGTATCTTAAGATAATCTTAAAACAAGAACAGACTATGAATACCGTCTTCTAATTGGTTCATAACATCTTAAGACTATACTTAAGACAGTTTTACATATAAGAATTGATTATGAATATCAGCCAATGACATCTTAAGATTATACTGGCCATGGCCGTAGTCAGATCTTATATTCAAGACCGTCTTAAGTACAGTCTTAAGAAGTCATGAATCAATCAGAGGACCGCATTAGCGATTTAAGACATTACTTAAGACGGTCTTAAAGTAAGAATCGACTTTGAATACCAGTCAATAGAGTTGTATTAGCACATTTTAAGGCCGGTATTCATAAATCAGATCTTATATTCAAGATCGTCTTAAGTACAGTCTTAAGAAGTCACGAATCAATCAGAGGACCGCATTAGCGATTTAAGACATTACTTAAGACAGTCTTAAAATAAGAACGGACTATGAATGCCGCTCTAAGACATTACTTAAGGCGGTCTCTGTAAAAGAACAGACCACGAATACCAAAGAATACAGTTTGCGATTATGAGTACACATTGCTTTACTTATTTGAAAAATTGCAGCAGTGTTATATATATATATATATATATATCCACCTCGATGATCGCAAAGGATTCAGAACGCATAACACAGGTATGCCTATGACCTAGATACTTCTTTGTAATGTTTGGCATGTAACCCCCTCCCCCCCCGCCGCCGCACATGCACGTACACGTACGCACGCACGCACACATGCGCCTCTCGAGCATGGGTCATGCGTGCTCCGTCATCGGAATGTAAATGAATCAAATAAATATTCAGCGGATAGTTCTGCTATGCGAAACTGGAGCAAAAGGGCCGAACTGTCAAGCCGCGGATCGGCGAGCACTCCGACCGTGCCTCACGCCACGGCGCTGGAGCGCGCACTAACAGGTGACACCATATTTACTGAAGTTGTAGCCATTGTTGGTCACCCTACCCCCAGGCCCTGCGGCGCGGATACGTGTTTACGTTCGCCTCGCGTCCACGATCGTCGTCGCGGAACGCCGAGGGTGCTGCGTGATTCGCGATACGGATTTATATCTGCGGAGTTATTGCGAGAAACGCGCACCTTGCCACACGCGGGGCCTTGAAAGTACCAACAACTGACAAACACATACACGCACACACATACACTCATACGCATTCGGGTCCCGTCGCGACGAGTCGTCGCTCTCACGTTGAACGCACATGATCACCGCGGCGACGACGACGTCGAGGGTGCATGGATCGGATCGTCGAGATCTACCGCGCGGATGGTGACTCGCAGAGTAAAATTCACGCTCCGAAACTTACCTGCACGTTAACATCGCTCACAACACGCACGCCATATTGGACACGACTGCTTGCGCCAGTTGCGCCTTGCGGGAAAAAAAGACGAGAAACACGCGCGCGCCCTCTGCGACGGAGGCGCGCACTTTGCCTCGTCGCCCATTCGTGTAGGTCGTGCGTGCACACGTGTGTGCGTGCGCGCGCGCATCCACCTGTTTCTCACTTGGAACCTTGCGTGCATGCGGCGAATACTCGTAAAAATACGATGCTAATCGCCTTATGCGCTTACGCCTCACTTAAATATAGCTATGCGAGTGCTGTTGACTCGTCGCGACGAAGCCACAGGCGCAAAAACCTCGTTAAGATTAGAACGAGGTTTCTGCTAAAACCTGATTTCAACATACTAATGACTCGAACGTGTCTCCTGTATGTACAGAAATTATCTGGCTTTCTGAATATTCGATAAAATTTTAATGAACTTTTTTACTGCCTTGCATTCTCCAAGCATGTACATTTATGTATGACACGAGTTTCGCAAAAGTTTTTGCGACTTGTAGAACGTGTGTACAAAATATTCGAACATTTTCTATTATGCATTGGAAATGTCTAATTTTACACAAATCTAATTTATTAAAGGGGTACACAGATGGCTGTTTATGTAATAATTTATAATTTATATTAAAAGTATATACAGTATTATTGCTTGTATTTAAGCTTACACTAAGATATCTATCCTTACTGTTACCTTTAATTTACTATCACTGAGACTGAGTGAATTTCAAAACATTATTCGCATAAAAATAGGAAAATCTGTTGTCTATTCAAAGAGAATATGTACATGAATGCCTAAAAATTCTTATATTCTTATTTGACGAGTTCTAAGAGAGGAACAACTTTTTCTTATAAAAAAAAATATGCTTTAAGGATTAGCCATAAATAAATGAAATATAAAAGATATTTATACGTTAATAAAGATCTATGCAAAGTATTTGCTATTCTCAAATAAAAAATAGATTAGTGTAAAAAAAAAAGCATTTTTCTAATTACTAAAACACTTGATATTGTCTTTCATTCTTTTTTTAATATTTTTTAAGGGTTTAAATTTAATTTGACAGCTTCTTGTCGTATCACAGAGATGAGTTCTTGGTTTATTAAAAATGTGAACCTCAGTCCTGCAATCTGTAAAAAAATGTATATAGAAATTACGATTAGAAACTATTTTTAGTTAAAAAAAATGAATTATCATTTAAGAGAACTACACAAATTAAATCTGTTGCATAAATTAAATGCTTTATGCAATAATTATAATTACGTAACAATTTATGTAACAATTACCTCAATTACACTATTGTTATTCAATTTCATCTTATTGCCAGCCAAAATTGGTCTGCTATCTACAAAAATCGGCCGTTTTCCCTCGGACGACAGAAAAAAGTCTCCATTATTCCTTAAACGGATGGTACCTTGTCGACGCGAAACTTTCCACGCTGGACCCTCTAAACCAAGATCCACATCGACAGTATGATCTTTTGTAGAACGTCCCACACTTATCTGAAGAAAGATATAGAAAAGACTATAAGATGTAAATCTTTTAAAATATGACAATAATTTATTATATATGAATAATTAAAAATAACCATCCTACACTTTGCTTCTTACCTCTCTAGATCTCATGAGATATCTGACAAGTCTTCCTCTTAAAATTGCTAAGGTTTGATTATCAAATTCTGGAGGATTGACGCCTGTTACACTGTCCACAAGTACCTGCCATCTGCCAAGTTCGTTTTCCAATACTTTAATTTCTTTTTTGTTTTTTCTGTCCACCGTTGCCAATTCAGTATCCACTAATTCATCTTTCGGTTCTATTAATTCAGTATCGTTAATCATATCTTCGGCATCCGAAAAACTTAACACGTGTTCACCTCGTGGTAAACTTTGCACTGTCTGATCTGGCAATAGGTGATATTGTTTCATCAGCTGCCAATGGCTATGTAACGCTTTCGCAGTCCTAGCTGGATAAAACGTATGTGCATTTGCTTCAAGCAATTCTTGAAATACTTCCAATGTTGGTTGAGAAGTCTGATGAGATAAAATAAAAAGAAATCACATACTCATAATAATGCAGTTATTAAAAAAAAACTAACTCATTTTTATCAATATATATTAACTTTGATTTTGATTTAATTTATTTTTCATCCTTTTTTTATTCTTGGAACTAGAAAAAGATGAAGAATAAGTTGAACCGAGATTGAATTTAATCTACATTGGTGAAGACAAGCGTCAGTAACTAACTCATATAATAAATTATATTTATCTTTTCTATAAAAATGTTTATCACTAAAGAGAGAGAGAGCCTGTGACACACGATGCGTGTTTTTCTGCTGGATAACTTGTGTTTTAGTTAATTATTTAAATTACACAGAACGTAGAATTCTTAGCAATTTACCACGCATCTCTCATATGCCACGAGAATTTATTAATACCCACCGATTTAATAGTGCCTAATAGATCCTCTTCTGCTTTGCTATATAAAGTTCTTGCTTGAACACTAGTTATTAGTTCAGGATGCAAATTACGCATCGCCTGCACAGCTACACGCGAAACCGCACTGTCATATAATAATGCATACCACCTTTGCTGTATTTCCTGCAGTGTGAAACGACAGGAAAATTTTGTACCTCGATGGACCTTAAACAGACAATAAGGACATTAGAAATATATTATATTTTTTCTTACCGTGATATGGAAGAAAACAATTGTGCCCGTAATTATCTAAGTAATCTAAGTAAAAAATTAATTTATCCCGTATTTTTTGTATAATTACAACGTAATTAAATTTGTATAATTACAATGTTATACAATGTAATTATACAAAATATAGGATTAATTCATTATATTGCAATTTTTTATTTAGACCACTTTCAGAATTACTGGTACAATTGGAAGCAAAAAGAAGAGAGAAATTAGATATATACCATCCTTAAATCATTTGTCTGTTGTACACCAGTAATTAACGCCAAGTCGTCAGCGGGTTTCCATCGACCGAGATCTTTGGTGGCGTTGAATGAATGAGAATGATTTTTACTCTTCTTATTCTTTCGTCCGGGATTTGAATCGCTCGGCCTACTGGGTCTACGATTGCATCTGTCCGACTGTACCAAGGTGGTCGGAATGGGTATTGGAGTTGGCAGCGTCTGCGTCGGCAAGACGTCCATGGGGCCGGCGGTTACCGAAATTGTTCGTGATTTCGATGTTGACTTGGCGCTTGTAGCAGGCGGTTGTAGATTAAATGTTGTTTCCACGACCTCATCGTCAAACTTCTTGCGTTTTATCGTGCGCGAGGAGCTTCGAGGGAAAGAAAATATAAGCGATAAAAATTTTTCAACTTAAGCAGTGATTTGTAATTTATAGTAAATTCGGTTACTTGCATTGCATTGAATTAGTGCATATTAAAAAGGCTGCTATATATAAAATATGCAGTGGCAATATAATCAACTTTGATAATGATAATACATGTATATTCTGTTAAATAATGTTATTATTGGATATTTAATTATTTAAAATTAACATTTATATGCTTTTACATTTAACTTTGCTAACTTCATATATAGCAGTTTTTATAATAGTATGTACTAATTTAGTATTACATGATCAATAATACTGATCAGTAGATATCATTGAATCAGTAATACTGACAATGATATTAATATTTTGACAACCTTACACAGTCAGCATTATTGACTATGCTCAGTTCAGTTGCTTACATAATTGCATAACTTTATTGACAGAAATACGCGCTTTTCTTACACCTTTACATGGATGCTTTCCAGCAAGAGACACGGCAACATTCTTGTTTGCCAATGTTAAACAAAGATTACTATGTTATAATATACTGGAATGAGAGCACAGTCTTGTATAATGCATAATACATAATGCATAAGAAAATGAATCAATCAAAGTCCTTTATTTTTTTTTTTCATTAAAAAAAAACTCTGATTGATTTTCTTACGTGTTATGCAAGAATATATATTGTTGCCCTTATTTGTAGAAAGTATCATGTCAGTACCAATAAATACTGACGATATTATTGATCTTGTGTGTTTAATATTGATAATTGATATAGAATATTAACAATGATCTAGATTTTTTAATCCTCAAGCATCATTGTGATAGGAGATACTTTCTATTTTTGTACAAGTGAGCTTATAAAGTTACATACTTTATACTTAGATGACGACATCATTACTTGTTTACTCTAATCACAAAGTTATAACATAACAACGCAGGTTTATAATCTCACTTTTAATATGAGTTAACAAGATTCAGTAAGTATACAGTCTCAAGCTTGTTTAGATTATAGGTAAAAGCTAAGTTAAATCTCACTTATCGGAATAAAAAGGAACATGCATTCAACCGAGTCATGATGTCATAAATAAAAATTATCTCCATTTTGATGGTAAATAGAAAGAAACTATTGATCGAGAAACAAAATAGCTAGGTCATCCTCAATATACATCAATCCATCAATATTAACCACACATCAGTCATATTGGTTACGTTCAGCAGAAATAGTAACTTTGCAAGTAATCAATAGGCATTAATATAATTAGTTCTTGCCCTTAGTTCCTTGCTGGATCTAAATGTATAACCAATCATATCAAAAGAATCTTACAACAATTGCAAAGCTGCTTTTACTGCTGACAATCATTGTCAGTATTTGTTTATATTGACAATAAATACTATTGACTATTGTAAGAAAATTTAAATAGACACAACAGAAAAGCTCAGTGTGACTCAGTGTCAGGGCTGTGTGGCTCAATGGCTACGTTTACACCATGCATTTGGACCGCGGCCTATACAATAGGTGTCGATGGCTACGTTTACACCGTGCTCTTAGTCCGCGACCTATACGATAGGTCTTTGTTTAACCTACAGGATAAACAAAGACACCTATCGTATAGGTCGTGGACTAAGCGCACGGTGTAAACGTAGCCCTTGTTTATCTTGTAAGTTAAACAAAAACACCTATCGTATAGGTCGCGGACTAAGTGCACGGTGTAAACG